ACAGTATTTAGTTTAGCGAATGTGTGTTTTATTTGGGACAAAATGTATGGGACTTATTATTTTCAATAAAGAACTCAATTTTTTTAAGTAAAACTTAAGAGAGTTATCTCCTCTCAATGGGCCAACACGGCCTTTATTTATAATATAAAATTTTATATACAATTTATACCATTTATCAAAAATATATCTTTTATCGCAGATATGCCATATATCTCATATATGGCATTTAATCCATATATTCCATAAATCAGATATATGCCTTATATCGCTTAAAAGAAATATATGTATTATATAGCTTATATATCATATATAGCATATATGCAATATATGCAGTTTATTTGATTTAGCCACGTGACTTATGTTCACGTTATGTCACTGGCCTTGTTCGGGTTCAAAATTCGGGGCTCATATTAATTAAAAAGCTTCTATTTAGATCTGCATTATACAAATATGTATTTCGCTCAAAGAGCAGATATTTGATTCTTTTCCTCTCCTAGATGAGAGACATATTTCTGCATAACAAATCAGTTTTTGCAAATAACTTATAGTCCAGTAAATGAAATTTAACGATTTTGGTACCAATCGAACTGTCTTATCAAGAAACATCGAATAGTACCAAAATCGCTAAATTTTAATTACTGAATTACAAGTTATTCAACCTTTTATACTATAATTTAAATTTAATATCCCGTTATTAGGATACAAAAAAACTCTACCTGTCGATCATTAGTACGGGAGCAAACAAGAAGACAAAATACCCGCAGAGATCAAACACGTAGACAACAAGTACCTTTTAAAGGGGGCTTCCGCCCTTACATCAAGAAAAAGAAGTCTGTCCAATATTGATATGGAAAAATTATCAGAGAAAAAGGCTAAAATTCATGACACTAGAGCGAGAAAAGCACAGAAAGTCGCTGACAATAGCATACCTAACAACACAAGATTTGAGAACCAAGAGCAGTCTTTGAGCCTTGAGCTGAGTCCTGAATATGCGAATACAGAACCCAAAAGTTGGGCTAAATCAACAGAGCAAGAATACGCAAATAAAGATACGAAGGATACAACAAACTCTATTCAGAATGCTTTTGCAAACGCGCAAATGACATCGGAAAATTCACTGGCCTTGGAAATTCTAATGGAACCAGTTACAGAACTGGAGTTGGTACCTTCTGGAACAAATTCAGAAGTTACTGATTCCTCACATACTGAAAACACATCCTCAAGCAAACGACAGTGGTCTAGCCTCTTCAAGCTAAAAAGAGGAAAGGCTACTTACTCTACATATGCCCTCAGAAGCCGAATTCATACAAAAAATGATAATGCCATTATATTCGACATACAAAACTTGGAGAGTTTTTCGATTAATGAAATCATATCAGTTATGTATGCCAAAATTGGTGACAGCTTTATTGCTGCGAAACCTCACTTTAACAGAGGAAAATGTATTCATTTGGAGGTAGTTTTTGTTAATGAAGATAAGCAGAAACAGTATGCTATTGAAGGCTTGACAATTTTTAACCAAACGATTCTGGGGTATATCCCTACGAATCTCAGAAAAACTTATTTACCCATAAAACTTAGAAACATCCCTTTAGGGCATAAAGAATCGATCTCCACTCAAATTAAAAAAGCCTTCGAAGATATAGGAACGATCACATCTATTAAACCCTTGGTGTATGAAGGGACTCCTATAATCACAAATCAGTGGGTGGTCATTTTCGAAACTACTAATGATCCTAGTCTTACGGAAAGATTACCTAGACACACTCACATTTGAGAACAGAAAGTACTAATAGAATGGAGGGAAGCATCTAAATTATGCTTCTATTGTGACGAGGCTGGGCACATCAAACAAAATTGTCCCGAATTTAAAATGTCAGTGGAGCTAAGACAACTCCAAAAAGCACGAAAAGAACAGGAAATGAACAAACTCAATCAAAGCTCTCTAGATAACCAGGTAACAAAATTACCGACCTTCAGTGAAAACAATCCATATGTAGAAGAAAATACAATGCATACACAACAAATGCATGCTGCCCAACAATCGAGAGAAAATAACATTAGTACAAGCAATACAAATGCTGAAACCATCACGCAAGAAGGAACAGCATCTGCTGCAAACCACTCACAGGTAGAAGGAGCCCCAAACGAATCTGAGGTGAATAAAACTGTAATGTATACAAATGAAAATGGTAAGAACAGGCAAGAAGTTATGATATGTTCAAAAACAGCAACTGAAGCAAATGTAGTCGACCTAACAGATATAATAATGGAAGATACTTAAAGGACAGGAAAAGAAAATGATGATGAGGGGTTCACTACAGTGGTCAGAAGGAAGAACAAAAACAAAAATACAGAAAAGAATCAAGCGATGTCAGATGTGAGGCTTAGTCCTTACAAAAGAACGAAACGAGCAGATGAGAATTTAAAGAACACAGTAGATCGTAAATAACAAATTACATAATTAAAATATGAACTGTCAAATTAAAATTGCAACATTAAATGTCAAAGGTCTCAACAACAGATCAAAGTATTAGAAGACCTTAATTTTATTAAAATTATACCACATTGATATCATAGCACTACAAGAAACCAACCTGAATAACGAAGACTTAAGGAAATTCATTGCACAGCAATGGATATATGACTCAGTATGGACGAACAAACTCGCTATTCTAGCAGGAAACAAGAACATAAAATTCAGCAATATTGAAGAATCACATAGTGGAAGAGTTATTTCAGCACAGTTTAAGTTTAAAAACAGGACGTTCAAATTTTCAAATATTTATGCTCCACCTAGCATAACAGAAAGATCAGCTTTTCTAAACGATTGGTCCCCTATAATTAACGAGGAAGCAGTTAACATGATTGTGGGAGATTTTAATGTCAACCTCAACCCTATCAGGGATAGAGTTAGTCAAGCAAAAGTGCATTATGATCACACTAGGGATAAACTTAAAGATTGTATAGAAGGATTTACTGACTCAGCAGAATTCACAACTACTAAACCCTTCCTCACGTTTTATCAAACAACACGTGGGAATCAAACAATGGCTACTCGATTAGACTATATCTTCGTTGAAGATAACTACATACAATTTTGCCAAAAAACAGAAACTCGATTCGGTAATTCTGACCATTTGTTGGTTGAATGCACCATGAATTTAACATCTTCACCCAATAGAGCAGCTTATTGGAAATTCAACAAATGCTGTTGGGGGAACGAGAACATGAGAAATCAGGTAATAGAGGAAATCAAAGATTTCCACAACTCAACAAATTGGGACTTTCAGAAATGTCGTATACAGTCCATTATTCGAGCATTCAAACCTCTGACTGCACCAGAAAGACGCATTCAAAAAATAAATAAAGACATCACAAGACTAAAAGCTAGGTTAGCAACAGATCCTAGTTGATCTGATTTGAATATCATAGTGAATGAACTCTTGGGGCAAATTCAAGAAGAGTTAACTTCACTAGCAGAAAAATGGCAAATCAGATCATCTGTACGCTGAATAGAAAAAGGTGAATGTTCGACTAAATATTTTTTCACTCGTTACAAGTCAAGGCATTCGGAGTTAGCTATCTCTAAAATACGCATACCCAATAATCCTAATGAATCGGATCCGAAGGCAATCCTACAATTTATTAAAGATACATATGAGAACATTTATAAAGCAGAAGAAATTGATAAAGATGCAGCGAAAGAACTCACTAATCACCTACCCC